TGGGCCTTGCAGCCCGAGGTCAGTCAGCGTCATGGGGTTCAGCCATCAGCTAACTGAGACCAGGGGACTTGCATCCTCGCTCTGTCTGAGCCATTAAATGGTAAATACACTATATTGAAATTTTGTTCACTGCAGACATGTTCTGGACTGCTTCTTGATTTCAATTTAATTCAAATGATTTAAGGGTGACACACTAGTGACTACCACAGGTGGTCAGTGTCCAAGCTGTGCTTGATCTTAATGTGTTGCTGATTGTATCAGTTGGGATAAAACATTGAGGTTGATTTGATGAGCTGTTTTCTCTGATGTTATGAAGATGAGAATGTCTGTGGGTCGTTAGAGACACAGAAGCTAGGGCGCAACTATATCAGGAAGATTTGGGTGATAATCCAGAGATTAAACCAAGGACAGTCCGACAACAAAAATTAAAATGAGAAAACACTTAAGCAAGACACAAGGACAGAATTCCAGTTCACCAATGGCAAACAGTAGGGCAAATGAGGATGAAAAGGCCGATAGTGAACCACCAGGACACCCTGAACTCAAAGCACAGGAAGTAACAAAACAGATCAATCAGGCTCTAGAAAAATTCAAAACAGAAATAATTTCCCAGATAACCATAGAGATAGTAAGCAAAATGGAAGTCACGATTCGAGACTCTAGAGCAGAAACTGACAAAAAAATAGATGAGCTCAGGACCATGATAGAAGCCATGAAGGCCCAGCATAAGAAAGAAATGGAAAAAATAAACACCCAACATAGGAAAGAAATGGAATCCATAAAACAGATTCAAACAGATATCCAGGAGATTAAACAATCCATAGAAAGTGTACGCAACACAACAAAAGAATGCGAAGAAAGACTCTCAGATATAGAAGATAAGATGGCAGTCAGTGATCATGAAAAGAGAGGTCTCTTAAAAACAGTAAGGGATCATGACAAATGGATCCAACAACTCCTAGATGATGCAAAGAAGAATAATATAAGACTGATAGGAATCCATGAAGTAGCAGGAGAAAATACAAATGACTTAAAAAAGCTGTTTGCAGAATTAATGACAGAAAACTTCCCAAACAGAGGGGAAGAATTTGACATTCAGATAACAGAGGCATATAGGACCCCAACTAGCTACAATCAAAAAAAAAAAAAATCTACACCTAGACATATAATAATCAAGATCCCAGAAACCCAACAGAAGAACAAAATACTACAAGCAGTAAGAGAAAAGAAACAAATCACATATAAAGTAAAGCCCATCAGAATCAAAGCAGACTTTTCAACACAAACCCTTGGGGCAAGGAGAGCCTGGAATGAGATATTTCAAGTACTAAAAGAGAACAACCTCCAAGCTAGACTGTTGTATCCTGCAAAACTCTCTTTCAAAATGGAGGGGGAAATAAGACACTTCCACGACAAAGAACACCTGAGAAACTACATGAATACCAAACAAGCACTACAAGCAATTCTAAACAAGATCCTAGAAAAAGACAATGAAGGCAGCAACACCATGAGGCCCAACAGAGCAAATCAAACAGGCAAGGCAAGAAATTAAAAGAAGGTGAAAAAGTAAAAAGAGTCAACAAAAGGCCAACAACATGTCAATAATAAATCAGTACATATCAGTTATAACCAGCAATGTCAATGGCCTCAACTCACCAATCAAGAGAAACAGACTGGCAAAATGGAATAAGCAGCAAAATCCAACAATATGTTGTATACAAGAAACACATCTAATGCAAAAAGAAGCCGATAGACTGAAAGTGAAAAGACAGAAAACAATTCTCCATGTGACAGGAGCCCAGAAAAAAACAGGGGCAGCAATCTTATTTGCAGACAAAGTAAATTTCAAACCAAAACTGATTGTAGTATTACTGATATAGGACGGTACTGTATCATACCTCTATGAATGTAAAATATGTTATACCTGGCTTTATGATACATAGTAGGGACCATGTTTTATCAGAGCTACATTTAATGATATTACTCTAGAATGCTCTCTTTCCAGATGATGATTAAGATGCTAATAAAAAAAATGGTGCCAGGTACCACAACAGCAACAGAACTTTGCTGTTGTCTGGATATTATTCTTTTCTTTGTTTCTTTTTATTTTGTTTTGTTTTTTTTAATGGAATGTGCTGAATGTCTTTAATTTTGTTCACATGACTGCAGAACCTGGAAAAGCTGTTGCTGCTATCAATGCATAACATACTGCTATTATTAGTCTTTTTATATAAATATAAATATATATATACATATATATA